AGTCTATGTGAGATGTAACCAGAGTGTGGACCACCGTGGCCAAGTCTGACTTCCCAAGATATGGGCACGACTGGTGCACAAGTTTTAATTGTGCGAAGGCTCCCCTGGCCACCGCTGAGACCTGGGGTTCCAGGCTCAGCGATGAGTCCAGGAGAACTCCCAAACTGCGAACTTGCACCTTCATGAGGAGTGGGAGCCTGTCCAGCACAGGCTGTAACCCTATATCCTGTTTGGCCTTGCGACTGACCAGGAGTACCTCTGTCTTGTCTGGATTCAATTTCTATTTGTTTGCCCTCATCAGCAGCCAGGCACTGGTTCGGGATCTGAGCAGCCTCCTTAGCAGCAGGTGGAAAGGAGTATAAATGACCTTTTCTTAAGCATTGGGACACAAATGATAAAAGTTTTATGCAGCTGATGTTGATACGCCACTAAGTACTAAGGCCTATCTGCTAAAGAGAGAAAAATGACCCACTTTGCTTCTGAAGAGTCTTAAATTTCACCCAGATCAATTACTGATGAAAAACAGATAAAAGAGATTATAGTCTATTTAAAAATGCACAAAGTCAGTGTTTCTAGTTTTGTAATCCGATTGGAGAAGCTCTTTTCATAGTAGGGGGAGCCTCTTGAAAACAGCTATTTTTATGTTTTCATACTTCAAACATTAAGAGTACCATACTTTATCACTATGTTTCCATGACACATCAGAGGGGATGAATAACATGTGACTTTAAATGGAAATCTGAAGTGAAAAATCAACCCAGTTTTGATTCTAGGTCCTAGAATCTAGGTCACCGATGCGTCCTACATTTACAAGAATTTGGAAGGATTTAAACTTTTGCAATAAGTTCCATATATTAATTTCCATCATATATGTTGGTCACTATGTATTTCCTTATGCCCGATTATAATTATAATTGTATGCTGAAAAACCAAATTTCTCTCATGTTTATCTTCATGTATTGATGTTTGCCCTACATTGTGGAAGAATGAACATTGATTCCGTGGCCCAAATCTACTCCAGCTACGTTTGAAGAAGATCCTGGAAAATATGCAGAAGAAGACCGTCTAAAACGTTTCTCTACCTGGGGGTTGGGACCCCGGGGGGAGTGTTGCGAGGGGGTGTCAAAAGGGTCAACAAAGACCATCAGAAAGCACAGTATTTTATATTGGTCATGGGAGTTCTGTGTGGGAAGTCTGACACAATTCTATCGTTGCTCTTTAATGGTAGGTGAACTATAAATCCCAGCAACTACAACTCCCAAATGTCAAGGTCTGTTTTCCTCAAACTACACAAGTGTTCACATTTAAGCATATTGAGAATTTGTGCCAAGTTTGGTCCAGATCCATCGTTGTTTGAGTATACAGTGCTCTCTGGATGTAGGTGAACTACAACTCCAAAACTCAAGGTCAATGCCCACCAAACCCTTCCAATCTTTTCTGTTGGTCATGGGAGTTCTGTGTGCCAAGTTTGGTTCAATTCCATCATTGGTGGAGTTCAGAATGCTCTTTGATTGTAGGTGAGCTATAAATTCCAGCAACTACAACTCCCAAATGACAAAATCAATCAGTCCCCACAACTCCACCAGTATTCATATTTGGGCGTATCAGGTATTTGTGCCAAATTTGGTCAAGTGAATAAAAAATAAATCCTGTATATCAGATATTTACATTACAATTCAGAACAGTAGCTTAAATTCCAGTTATGAAGTTGCAACAAAAATATTATTTATGGTCATCACAACATGAGGAACTGTATTAAGGGGTCGCGGCATTAGGAAGGTTGAGACCCACTGGTCTAAAAGGTATAAGTTAAAGCACTCAGGGCTCTCTTGCTCAGAATCATATTCTGTAATAGCTGTATGTTGACTGAATATAAGTTTTAATTTAGTCCAAACAGCACTGTATATACACAGTAAAGGGAGGTATCCGCATACTGTTGGAAAGCCTGAGGTTTTTCAAAGTACAGAAAGTATTAGGGCTGGGGATGAAACTAAGAGGATAACTCTCATTCCAATCTATGAGTACTGTGCATGGCTCACAGGGAATTAAAGACTGATTCACTGCTTGGGGTCAGGAGCAGAAAACTAGCAAATGGGAAGAGGAGAAAAGTAAAGCAATGGCTGGGGCCTTAAACACAAGTACACCCCACTGCAGGGTTTTGTAAGCTTTGCAAATATAAAAGAATCAGGGAATGGAGGTAGAGAAGAGGGCTGTATTTTTCTACTCTTGGAAGCACTGTATTTTCCTGTGTGTGATTTAACTTTTAACTGAACTTGTTGACAAAAAGGTCGCAGGTTTGAATCTGGGGAATGGGGTGAGCTCCTGCTGTTAGCCCCAGCTTCTGTCAACCTAGCAGTTTGAAAACATGCAAATGTGAGTAGATCAATATGTACCGCTCGGGTGGGAAGGTAACAGCGCTCCATGACGTCATGTTGGTGATGCAGAGTTTGCCCCAGAGCCCTGCTTTCCAGCTGAACTGACCAGCTGCAGGGAGTTCTGCAGTTCCTGGATGCTCTGTTGGGCCAGCGCTGATGAAATGTGCCCCAGCAGCAACCTCAACCAGGAACTCTTTGTAACCTTGAGCTCTCTCCTTTCGCTTCTTTCCCCAGCCCAAACACTGTAACATTACCCTAAATAAAGACTAATTGAATTGTAAACTTCACCTCTTCATAGTGATACATTGTGTCCTTTTACTGACTCTCTGGTATGAAATGCATGAATTTACCTTTTTCCGGGCGTCCCAGGGAGGCTGAATCTGCGTTTATTCAAACCGCAGTTACAGACACCCCTCAGGTCCCCGTATCTGCGAGTTGACGAATTTTGGTGCCATATTTTTCCTAGCTAAATTCTAACACTATCTGCTATTTCACTTTTTGCATTTTGGGCTCCTGTGCTCAGGGAATGACCTTTTTATTTTCAATAATAAAATTTAAAAGGAAAACAGCTGATTGTCAAACTGAACCTTCTTGCTGCTGCGCTGCTCCCACCATTGCTGCTTCTTCATCCTTCTGGAGCCCCAGGACCTGGGAACTTGATGCGGTCACCCCATGAGGCTGTCGGCGAGTGGAACTGACTCCTGGTTCCAGCCCTTGGAAGGAGTTATAGTTCTCCAAGAACCAAAGGACAAGCTTCAGCCTCAGCAATGCAGGACTTCATATCTTGGCTCAGTGGAATCACCGAACCTTTCCTTATGATTTTTGAACCTTTTTGCCCCGCATCAAGACTTTTCCCCCTCTCTAAGGACATGCTTTCATCAATGGATGCCCCATAATGAACTATGGACATATATTGAGCTATGATCAAGGCTCTTATCAATTTCCCTATGGGACACAGGGGGGAGGGACAAGTGGGTATATTTTCTGTATCATGATTTCTATATTCTTATAGTTCTCCCTGTGTATCTGACCCTTTCCTGACCCTTTTGCCCCATTCCCCTTTATTGAAAAATGTATAAAAAAAAACAAGGCAGCCACCCCTCCATGATCCCAGAAGGAATGAAATTACCAGTTGAAAAGACCCTTATCAAAAGACACTCTTTGCATGGACAATAACAAAGGATTGTGACCTCTGGGCTCGGAATTTGGTCCCTAGAGGGAGCGGCCATTTGGCAATTTTGATTATATCTCAATAGGATGGAGGAGGCCTTCAGAAAGCCGCACCTCGTCCTAATCTGTCACCCATTCAACCTCTCTCTCATTGAAAACATCCACCAAAGTTCCCCCATTGTTTCTATGTCTCAGCACTGAAGAAAATCCGGATTATGGCAGGATTGCCAAACATCAGTGTTTACTGCAGCCATTCAAGGACAATAATAAGGCTGGCTCGTAGGCCTTCAGGACTCGCCGGCCACTTGGACATTTCCTAATCTTCATAATCCACTCAAGAATGCATTGTTTTCCCTTGTCCCGCCTCCCTCTCCCCTGATTCGCCGAGACGCCGAGGCGACAGGAGCTCAGTGATTGGCTCAGGTGCTTGGGAGGCGGCCGAGCCTCCTCCCAGCTGTAGAGGTGCCAACCAATCACTGAATGAAAATACATCCTGCATATCAGATATTTACATTCCTATTCACAACAGTAGCAAGATTACAGTTATGAAGTAGCAACAAAATAATTTTATGGCTGGGGGTCACCACAACATGAGAAACTGTATTAAGGGGTCGCGGGTTTAAGAAGATTGAAAACCACCGGTCTAGATCCAGAGTATGCTACCCATACTCTATTCTGCCTTGGTTAGACCACATCTGGGATACTGTGTCCAATTCTGAGCACCACAATTGAAGAGAGATGTTGAGACACTGAAGGTGTTCAGAGAAGGGTGACTAAAATGATCAAGGGTCTGGAGAACAAGCCCTATGAGGAGTGGCTTAAGGAGCTGGGCATGTTTAGCCTGAAGAAGAAAAGGCTGAGAGGAGACATGATAGACATTTGAGACTAGGAGCAATGGCTTCAAACTACAAGAGAGGAAATTCCATCTGAACATGAGGAAGAACTTCCTGACTGTGAGAGCCATTCAGCAGTGGAACTCTCTGCCCCGGAGTGTGGTGGAGGCTCCTTCTTTGGAAGCTTTTAAACAGGGGCTGGATGGCCATCTGTCAGGGGTGATTTGAATGCAATATTCCTGCTTCTTGGCAGCGGGTTGGACTGGATGATTCTATAAATATGTGATAGGAAGTCATTGGGAGGAGGGAGCAAGCTTGTTTTCTGCTGCATTTGAGACTAGGAGCAATGGGTTCAAATTACAGGAAAGGAGATTCCATCTGAACATTAGGAAGAACTTCCTGACTGTCAGAGCTGTTCAGCAGTGGAACTCTCTGCCCTGGAGTGTGGTGGAGGCTTTGAAACAGAGGCTGGATGGCCACCTGTCGGGGGAGCTGTGAATGCAATTTTCCTGCTTCTTGGCCGAATGGGGTCCTTCCCGCTCTTTACTCCTCCTCCTCTGATAGGCTGGCTATAATGAGGGGGCGTGTTTATGCTTTCGGGGGCGGGTCACGTGAGGAGGGGCGGGGCCAAAAGCAGAGTCTTCGTCGGAGGCTCTGAGGAGAAGGACAGAGACGCGGTGGAAGGCAGGCGAGCAGGACGCACGCTCAGCACGGCCCGACATGGACGAGGAAGGCGGCGGAGGAGGAGGGGGCAGCGGTGAGTGCCTGCCCCTGAGCATGTGCAGAGGGCAATTCCTTTTCTCCTCTCTTGGTGTATCCCTGGCTAAAACCTTCCTCTTGAACAGGCGTGGGCAAACTTGGGCCCTCCAGGTGTTTTGGACTTCAACTCCCACAATTCCTAACAGCCTCAGGCCCCTTCCTTTTGCCCCTCAGCCGCTTAAGCGGCTGACGGGCAAAAGGAAAGGGCCTGAGGCTGTTAGGAATTGTGGGAGTTGAAGTCCAAAACACCTGGAGGGCCCAAGTTTGCCCAAAACTGCCTCAATATATAGAAATAATAACATTGTCAAATAATAATGCTAATATATTAGATATAATATTGATAATACTGTAATTTAGTCTATTGTATATTATATTACCACAACTTATCTGCTACAGTTGAAGACAGTTCCATCTTGTCTCCTGTGCTTGACTAATAATATAATATATTGTATATACATATAATATTTATAATATTATAATGTAATACAATATAATAATACAATATTATAATTATATATTTTATATTATATTTAATATTAGTAATAATATTACAATATAATGGTGTAGTATGATATAGTAATATATAATACTGGTATTGTGTTATGCTTTACTAGTAATATAATATAATGTATTATATATATAATATTATAATGTAATACACTATAATACTACTAATAATACATAATGATAATTATATATTTTATATTACATTTAATATAACTAATAATATTATAATATAATGGTGTAGTACAATATAGTAATATATAATACTGGTATTGTATTATGCTTTACTAGTAATATAATATAATATAATGTATTATATATATAATATTTATAATATTATAATGTAATACACTATAATACTACTAATAATACAATATTATAATTATATATTTTATATTACATGTGACATTACTAATAATATTGCAATTTAATGGTGTAGTACAATATAGTAATATATAATACTGGTATGGTATTATGCTTTACTAGTAATATAATATAATGTATTATATATGTATATAATTTTTATAATATAATATAATGTAATACAATATAATACTAATACTAATAATACAATATTATAATTCTATATTTTATATTACATTTAATATTACTAATAATATTACAGTATAATGGTGTAGTGTAATATAGTATTATATAATACTGATATTGTACTATACTAATAATTTAATATATTGTATGTATATATATCTTGTAAGCCGCTTTGAGTCCCCCACAATATATAAATATTGTAAATAAATAAATAAACTTATGATATAATACAATATATTATATAATACTAATAGTATTAGAACAGCCTCATCACTCCTCTCCTCTAGGAAGCAATTAAAATATTATTATATTATATTAAAAACAATATAATACTACTACTAATAACACAATAATATAATTGTATTTTTATATTACATGTAATATTACTAATGATATTACATTATAATGGTGTAGTACAATATAGTAATATATAATACTGATGTTGTACTATGCTAATATAATATTACTAATAATATTTCATTATAATAGTGTAGTACAATATAGTAATATATAATACTGATATTGTACTATGCTAATAATATAATATATTGTATGTATGTGTGTACACACACATACACATCTTGTTTTAGTGCTCTGTGACAGGGAATGACAATTTGAAGGTCTGACATAAAAGTGTAGTTTGAGATGAAATTTGTTACTCTGCTTAAATCATTATTATAACATGTGTTCTTCTATTATAAATGCATTCACCTTGCAGGCAAATTATCCAGCTGTCAAAGTATTTGGGGGCAAACTTCGGCCCTCCAGGTGTTTTGGACTTCAACTCCCACAATTCGGAATTGTGGGAGTTGAAGTCCAAAACACCTGGAGGGCCCCAGACTGTGTTAAAAGATGTATGCATGTATGCATTTTGTGCAGAGGCTTGTGTTAAATACCACTTGCTAATCTTTCTGAGAACACAAAATGCTCTGTGATGGTTGTTTTTACTCCTTTTTGACTATGACAGACTAAGTTAGGACATTTTTAATCCTCTTTCCATCAATCTTTCCCCGTGCCATGTTGATGAAGCATATTTTGAACTGGAGGAGAATTGAGTTGACAGGGATGGATTAGAAGACTGGGTTCTGGCTCTCCGGCGGCTTTTGCCTTTCTTGCTGGACTTCTGATCCCGTAACGATTGCATGGGTCCACACCCTTGTTTTCCAAGGATTGCCTTGTTTTTTGTACTTGCAGTTTCTTGTAAGGATTAAAGTCCATCTTGGCTACACCCCTAAGCCTGAGTGCCGTGAAATCTGGAATGTAGTGGACCCCTTTAGCAGAAATGTATCCCCTAGAAAACTGACAACAGGGAGCCCGAGTCCTGTTGGATCAAACCTTTCCGTGATTAAAACGACATGCAATCTTTGCTCTGTTTTTCTTGTGCCTTGTTCCTTCTCAAGCTCCAGTTTTTCTACATGTTGTGATAGTTGAGTTTGATCTGGATAGCTCTGTGTGTGTGTTTCAAAGCAAACCTGTAGGAGAAAACTCTTCAAGCTAGCTGCAGTGAACACAACTTAGTGTTTAGCAAGCAACCTGTAGCAAGTGACATCCCAGAGAAAAAGTCCTCCCATCCCTTCTTTGATTTCTATATAGTATTTTATCTTCTCCCCTTTACCAACACAGGCATGATGGTATTCTCTGCCGGTGTGTTCCCTGAATGTCTGTACAGGAAGTCCCCGAGTTACAAACATCCGGCTTACAAATGACTTATAGTTAAGAACAAGGTTTTTTTAATTGTGTGAGAAGCAACTTGAGAAACTGCAAGTCGCTTCTGGTGTGTGAGAATTGGCAGTCTGCAAGGACATTGCCCAGGGGACACCCAGATGTGTTATCATCCTGTGGGAGGCTTCTCTCATGTTCCCGCATGGGAAGCTGGAGCTGACAGACGGGAGCTCACCCTGTCTTGCGGATTCGAACCATCAACCTTAAGGTTAGCTGTTCAGCTGACACAAGGGTTTAACCCATTTTGCCACAGCGGCTCCGTCAAGAACAGGGGTTAAGACAACATTTATTTTATTTATTTATTTATCATGTCAGGAGCAGACCAAACAGTTGTACTGCATTTTTTAAACAAACAAACAAAACACAAAGTTTGCAAGCTTGGTAGTTGATTAAATGTCCTTTGACCAGTATCTGGCCACTTGGAGTGCCTCTGGTGTTGCTGCAAGAAGGTCCTCCATTGTGCATGTATCAGGACTCAGGTTGCACTGTAGCAGATGGTCAGTGGTTTGCTCTTCTCCACACTCGCATGTTGTGGATTCCACTTTGTAGCCCCATTTCTTAAGGCTGGCTCTGCGTCTCTTGGTGCCAGAGCGCAGTCTATTCAGCGCCTTCCAAGTCGCCCAGTTTTCTGTGTGCCCAGGAGGGAGTCTCTCATTTGGTATCAGCCATTGATTGAGGTTCTGGGTTTGTGCCTGCCACTTTTGGACTCTCGCTTGCTGAGGTGTTCCAGCTAGTGTTTCTGTAGATCTTAGAAAACCATTTCTTGGTTTAAGTCGTTGATGTGCTGGCTGATACCCAAATAGGGGATGGGCTGGAGATGTCACTGCCTTGGTCCTTTCACTATCGGCTGCTACTTCCTAGCAGATGTCAGGTGGTGCGATACCGGCAAAACAGTGTAATTTCTCCAGTGGTGATAATGTGGCATGTCTCATTAAAAACCACATCTGCTGTTTTAGTGTGGTGAGATATGTTCCACATTGGGCATGCGTACTCAGCAGCAGAGTAGCATAGCGCAAGGGCAGATGTCTTCACTGTGTCTGGTTGTGATCCCCAGGTTGTGCCAGTCAACTTTCGTATGATATTGTTTCTAGTGCCCACTTTTTGCTTGATATTCAGGCAGTGCTTCTTGTGGGTCAGGGCACGATCCAGAGTGACTCCCAGGTATTTGGGTGTGCTGCAATGCTCCAGTGGGATTCCTTCCCAGGTCATCCTCAGAGCTCGGTTAGACAACAGAAAGTGAGAGAAATCTATCCCTTGGAAGGGAAATTCACTTCTGGAAGTTATTATGATGGGGAAAAGGTGTCTCCACTGAAGCTGTACCTCCAATCCTTGTTTCCATAACGAGCAATTTTTTCAAAAACCAATGATCACAGAGACAGAAAGTACGGTGTAATCTCCCAAATCATCTTGTGTTACCATCCTATGGGAGGCTTCTCTCATGTCCCTGCATGGGAAGCTGGAGCTGACAGATGAAAGCTCACCCCATCTCGCAGATTTGAACCACTGGCCTTAAGGTCAGCTGTTCAGCTGGCACAAGGGTTTAACCCATTGCTCCACTCTTGGGCTCTTGTTGTTCTTATAATACAATATATGTACCCTAAAGTCTCACAAGTCAGTGCCACTGTGTCCTATGGGGTTTACATGCAGGTAAATGTGTTCAAGGTTGCACCATTAACATATTTAATTCCTTCTATCTGTGATTCCACAACAAGCCATTTTTTCAAAATCCAATGATCACAAGGAGAGAAAGTGGTGAAGTCTCCCAAGTCAGGGCACAGACAGTAAAGCGAACACCACAGGGGTGTTAACCCTTCCCCATGCTGTCCAAAGCATGGATGGATAGATAGATAGATAAGTTGGAATTACACTTTGAAATGTATCTGTTCCAACTTGCATACAAATTCAACTTAAGAACAAACCTTGTTCGTAACTTGGGGACTGCTGAATAATCTCTGGTTTCAAAGATGTGATTAACAACATTTCTCTGAAGACTTCCACATTGCTTCTGTGCACAGCTGTCATTTCACATTCTCACGTAGCAACTCAGGCCTTTCTCCTATATGTTCACCATCCTGTTGAGTCAAATGCCTTCCTGGCTTCAAGTATCCCTTCCAAACCTTCTCCTATTTGTTGCCGTTCACAGCACCCTCCCCTTGCATGTGTTTCTCCCATAGTATTTTCCCTGTACTCCAAATACACACAACTCCCATTCATCTGCCTTTA